GTCGCGCGTCGCGAACGATTGGCCGGCTCGCAGCCGTCCCGTATTTTTTCCGCGGTGTCGAGCTTCGATATAAAACAGCGTACCGCTCCGGCCGGCGCAGCCACTGGACAGTTAAATTCCGACGTGGAAACTGGTGTGTCCGCGCGCGGCTTTCCAACCGTTCATCAAGGTTCTCTCCGGTCTTTACCACCTGCCCGGCGAACGGATTCCGGTTCCAGCAGGGCTCGGCGCAGCTTGCTCCGACAATCGCGCACGATTATCCACGGTGCGGTAGATCTCGCTTCTCGAACAATGCCCTTCTCGAACGGCGAGCACGTGAACGGCCTGAATCATCATCATCATCATCATCAGCAACAGCAGCAGCAACAGCCGATCAAGCGACCCACGGAAAATGAGTTTTTACACACCACCGTCAAGCATCTACGGCACAGCACGTAAGTAGAAATTCCGTTTGCGAAATCGGACGCAGATGAAAAGAAAACGGTCGCGCGCAACACTCGTGCGCATGCGCGCGAACACGAGCGCGAGCGACGACGGCGTTGATCGATTCTGGAAAAATTCGGCGCGATGCGAAATCGCGGAAACGATGGCGAAAGTGTCCCCCGACGATCGCGACGATCCTTCTGCGACCTCCGAAACGAATTACAGTAATTTCTCCCTAATTCGCGGCGAGATTGCGCGCAAATGTGGACGATTATATCGAGACATCGACGATACAGGAGTAACGATATTAAACAAGTTAGATTGTTCGATCGTTTTGACAAGAATTTGACGGTTATTTAATCGTTCGCAGCACCGTAAATGGTCCTGGGGAACGTGTTAGTAGGATAATGGAGCCAGTTACTGTGGAATAACAAATTACTATGCCCTTTGTTTATTTTGATTTTTCTATTTAATTATACACGACGGGTCGCATTTCTTTTATCTAAATTCAACCGATTGCTTTTTTGTTAAAATTAAACCTGCGAAAGACGGATTTTCTTAATGTAAAGCTATTTTCTGTGAAGTTTGAGTATGAATTTAGTATGAATTTATTTATTGTAACCGAAAATTTTTTTTTAAATTTGTGTAGATTAAATTTGAAATCTAATAAAATTCGATATAGTTCTATAGTTCAATTAATTTTTATTACTAGAAATTAATTTCAACTGAAAATTAACAGTAATTTGTAGTAATTTTGTAGGTTGAATATATTTTCAATATAATCGAATTATAAGTTCAATATAATTAAATTAAATCTCTTCGATCGACTCTTATTCTATGAAATACAATTTATATTGCATAAAATATGAATAAATAGAAATAACGAAATTGCAGATATTAAAGGCCTTAAGAATTGTTATTTAGTATTGCCAAAGTTGTGGCAATATAATCGAATCGTAAGTTCAATATAATTAAATTAAATCTCTTCGATCGACTTTTATCCTATGAAATACAATTTATATTGCATAAAATATGAATAAATAGAAGTCACGAAATTGCAGATATTAAAGGCCTTAAGAAATGTTATTTAGTATTGCCAAAGTTGTGGCAATATAATCAAATCGTAAGTTCAATATAATTAAATTAAATCTCTTCGATCGACTTTTATCCTATGAAATACAATTTATATTGCATAAAATATGAATAAATAGAAGTCACGAAATTACAGATATTAAAGCCCTCAAGAAATGTTATTTGGTATTGCCAAAGTATTGCTCGGCAGCGAAAACTTCAGAAATCTGGCAACGGGGCACAGCAATTGGCTTCCCCCACCCTAAATCTCGCAGAATCTCCAGAAGCGACGGTATAATGTTTACGTCCAGTTTCATTGCGATTTCGGGGATCGCGCGCGCGCGCGAGAGAGAGAGAGAGAGAGAGAGAGAGAGAGAGAGGGGGAGAGTTAATTGGGGGACAGATGACTGAATTCTCGTATCCGCGAGCGTTGCCTAATATCGGTGCAGCTGTGGGATTAGATAAGAGCGGGCGGATAAAAGCCGGGGGATTAAGCAAAGGAAAATTTCACGAAATGCGAGCGGATCGTCCGAAAACTGCGAGATCGCTCTGAAATCTATCGATACGAGTCTACGCGCGCTTATCGGGACCGTCTCCGCTTTTAATCTAGCTATGAAAGTCCGATCTATCTGGAATTTAACTGTCCGATAGCTATCCGATCGAGGAACTTCGATACGGCACACGTTCGTAAAAGTGTTCGATAGTTTTTGGATCGGTTTGTACCGGAAGTTCGAGGCACGGCGAACGCATCCGGTCCAGCTGTTCGAAAGCTTTCTTATTCGGCTGAAAAGTCACTTCCCCAGCAACGTTCCCGAAGATCTACCGGGTCGTTCAAAAGTTTCGTGCACCGTTCCGTCTTCGAAACGACTCCGCGAAATGATACTTCTTCGGGCGAAGTTCGGAAAAAGCAAAGATCGTTTCTGGATATTTATGCATGGTCGTTGTACAGGGTGTCCCGAAGGTTATCCAAAAATCGGGAAATCGTTCCTGAGACCATTTCAAGCAACTTTCTCCTTTACAAAAATGTTCTCCGCGGCTTCGTTCGCGAGATATTAACGAAAAACAGTGACCAATGAGAGGCGCGAGCGCGGTTGGCGCGAGGCGATCGAGCCAATCAGCGCGACTGGGCTCCGCGCGCTAGTTGGCTGGGTCGCCGCGAGCGCCAGACGAGCACGCCTCTCATTGGTCAGTGTTTTTCGCCGATAACTCGGGAACGGTGCGTCGGAGAAAATTTCTGTAAAGGAAAAAGTTGCTTAAAATGACCTCGGGAGCCCGTCGCTTCCCGAATTTCGAGTAATTCTGGGATAATTTTTCTAGGATAATTTTCACGTTCTTTTTTCGCATCGCGGCTCGCGTAACGCGGCCGAGGACGGCCTCGGTCTCGAGGAATTGTAAATGGCGACGCGGTTACGGTTCATTGCATCTCCGCGCGCTCATTAGCGTCGCAAAAAAAAAGTTGCTTGCACGCGGACCGGGCCACTTGAAGCAACCGTTACCGAACTTTCGTGCGGCGAACAACGGCGGGAACGGCGCTCGTACCTGTGCCACGCACTCCGGCCGAGTGTGTATGAAATTTTCAAACAAAACTAACCGGTCCCGGACCGCTGCCGCGGTCTTCCGTGCTTCCGCGGATCCCCGCGATATTGCTGCGCTGCTGTATCGAGTTCTCTCGGGCTAATTGCGAAAGTTAATGGACCGCTATCGTGTTATCTCGCCGCCGACGATATTTGTTTAACCGTAAGACTCTCCGCCGAGCGTCCCGCCACGACTCCAAGATTTCAGAGCTGAGCCCCTCGCCGATTTTTTTAATTGCCCTCGCGATTCCACTCCATCATTATAATGAACGGCCAACGCGCCGAGGGAACGCGGCGAGAGTTGAAGAGGTCACGCGACCCGAACAGCTTTAAACGCCGCTTTTGTGTCCCGATTTTCGTCGATTCGCCGGCGAACGGCTCGCGGAAACGTTCTTGCGAATTTAACGAAGAATATGGAAGTTTTTTGCGTGGATGTCCCTTCGCAGTCTTTTATTTTCTTCTTTTTTTTATTTATTGTTTTTGGGGAGAGAGGGAGAAAGAAAGAAAAAAAGAGAGAGAAAGAAAGATAAAGGGAGACAGAAAGAAGAGAGAGAGAGAGAGAGTCAAGAGAGCTAGAGAGAGAGCGCGAGAGAGCGGGAGAGCGAGAGAGAGCAAGAGAGAGTGGGAGAGCGAGAGAGTGCGAGAGAGAGCTAGAGAGAAAGAGACAGTGGAAGAGAGAGAAAGTGAGAGAGCGAGAGAGATAAGAGGAGAGCGGAAAGAGAGCAAGAGAGCTAGAGAGAGAAAGCGAAAGAGAGAACTATTGAGAGAGAGAGAGCGAGGGAGAGCAAGAGAGCTATTGAGAGATAGAGAGAGAGAGAGAGAGCGAGAGAGAGACGAGGAGAGCTGAAAGAGAGCAAGAGAGCAAGAGAGCTAGAGAGAGAAAGCGAGAGAGAGAGAACTATTGAGAGAGAGCGAGAGAGAGCAAGAGAGCTATTGAGAGAGAGAGAGAGAGAGAGAGAGAGCTATTGAGAGAGAGAGAGAGAGAGAGAGAGAGAAAGAGAGAGGAAAAGAGAGAGAAAAAGACAAAGAGAATGAAAAAAGAGAAAGAAATAGTAAGAGAGAAAAATAGAAAGAGAGAGAAAGAAAGATAAAGAGAGACAGAAAGAAGAACACAGAGAAAAAGACAAAGAGCAAGAAAAAAAGAGCGAAAGACAAAGACAAAGAGAAGAGGAGAAACAAAAAAAAGCAGATAACTTCATAAAAAAGCCGTTCCCAACGAAACGCGACGCGATTTGGGTAACGCCCATAAAAGTCGAAATTGTCTAAAAATCGTCCGGCAAAATGGCCGCCGATGATTGTCCTCCGACGCGTTTCTCTCTTCAACGGGAGCACGGCGGAAACACTGCTTGTCGCCGTTCCGTCGGCGACACGTTCATTTGGAAATTGCGGCGAGTGTTGTTACATTGATTTTGTTTATTTAATCGTGCAAACAGACGGTACCGCGGGGAGTTCCGCAGGAGCAAAACACAAACAAGAATCGCGCGTAATGGCGGCACGGCCGTAGACCTTACGGCAAACAACGGCCAACAACTGCCGACATCGGCGGCGGCCGCAGCAACGGAGAAAGAAGAACGGCAGCGGATCGACCGCGTTCATCGACGATTTATCTTTTTATCTTTCATTCGCGCCGATCAAATATCTTCGCCTTTTCGTAGGGCAAGCGTTGGGTATCGCCGCGGACGCCCCAAATACCGCGGCGTTTCACAAAACCAATAAAATCGAACATTTCGTAGCGCGTAATCTTCTATTGGGTTGGCAACTAAGTAATTGCCGATTTCAGTTATAGATGTCTCTCACTCCCATTTTTATGATATCCGTAAATGTTATATTATAAAATTATTATTATTATTATTATTATTATTATTATTATTATTATTATTATTATTATTATTATTATTATTATTATTATTATTATTATTATTATTATTATTATTATTATTATTATTATTATTATTATTATTATTATTATTATTATTATTATTATTATTATTATTATTATTATTATTATTATTATTATTATTATTATTATTATTATTATTATTATTATTATTATTATTATTATTATTATTATTATTATTATTATTATTATTATTATTATTATTATTATTATTATTATTATTATTATTATTATTATTATTATTATTATTATTATTATTATTATTATTATTATTATTATTATTATTATTATTATTATTATTATTATTATTATTATTATTATTATTATTATTATTATTATTATTATTATTATTATTATTATTATTATTATTATTATTATTATTATTATTATTATTATTATTATTATTATTATTATTATTATTATTATTATTATTATTATTATTATTATTATTATTATTATTATTATTATT